TCTCTCTGTCTGTCTGGCGAGCGCACGCGCCCTACAGTGAAAATCTCTCCAAAAAAAAAAAAAAAAAGCTTCCCATTTCTCAAACCCACTCTTCCATGTTCCTTATGTTGGTAAACATTACCAATATTCCACCATCTGCCCCAGATGGAACGAGACACCATCCTTAGTACGTTCATTTCCCGTAGCCCTTGTAAACATCACCAAATCCTATTGCCTAGTATTTATTGCTTTTGTTCTGGCCTTCTTCATCTCATCACCACCGTTCTTGTCCAAGCCGCCCACATCTCCCACCTGGACCATTGTAGTGTCCTCCCAGCTGCTCCCCAGGCTGCCTCTCCCACCCCGTTACATTCTCCATGCTCTCACCAGAGGTAGCTTTCTAGGACTTGCGTCTCATCTCCCAGCGTTGCGACTTTAATACTGTCAGTAGCCTTCTGTGCAACCATTCTCTTTCATTGGCTCATTATATGACACTGAAACTCCTTTACTTTTTCTCCCTTCCTTCTTTCCTTCCTTTCTTTCATGGGCGAGGCAGGACATCGCCAAATCTCAGCCAGCCCAGCTCACAGACATGCACAGGCACTCCATGTACAAGAGACCTCAGGACATGAATCCAGGGCCTTCCCATGTGGATAACCTTTGTGCCACTGTCTTACCCCTAAAACTCTTTGCACCTCAGTCTCTCATATGCAAAAAGTGCTAAAAAAAAAATGTGTCCCCCCTCCCTATTTGCTATGGTTACTTATTTTTAATAAAGGAAAGGAAAAGTCAGTATGAGCAACCTAGTCAATACCATCATCATCACGGCAATTTCTGAAAATGCAGATTCGAGCATTTCCACCCTAGTGAATTTTCCTCAGAATATTTGATGCCTTGCAGACTTAAAAAATTTTGCTACAGGATGTGTGCACTTGCCAGAGAGAGAAAGAAAGTGAGAAAGCACTCCCTAGGAGGGATGGTCATGCCATAATCCCTTCTCCCCCATTCTTCTCTTGGAATTTTGGGTGTGCACACACATGCCTGCTGCAGTTTTCAGACAGCAGTGCTGAGAAACCACACTTGAACCACATGGTTGGCCACGTGGGATTCAGTCCCCTTAACTACCATGCCACCAGCTGGCCTAGACTTTCATTTTATGAACATATCAAGAAAAATTTGCTTCCAAGAAAAAAAATAGTAACTCTTTTTTTCTTAAAATAATCCACTACGCTAAGGGACCAGCAGTTAACGTAATGGCTATGTCACTGGACTCCCATGTAGTCGATCGCGGTTCAAGTCCCAGTCACGCCGGGCACGTGTGTGCGTGCCCAAGATCCAGAGAGGAGAATAGAGGAGAAGGGATTACAGTGTGGCCATGCCCTCGGGGGTTTATTTCTCACTTTCTGTCTCTCTGTCTGTCTCTGTCTTTCTGGTGAGTGCATGCGCCCTATAGCAAAAACCTCTCCCACCCCCTCCCCCCAAAAAAGAAAAAGAATCCATTAAGCTGGCCTATACATGGTGGAATAAACTTACGTGGTAATTACAAGAAGAACTGATCATACAACAATGTAAAAATTCTACTGTAGCCAAAGAATTAAAAATAAAATGCATGCTTTTGAAATGTACTATCTACATTGTACTTCACAAAAAAGAAAGGTGATTACAGAAACTCTGACTCATGTTCCTGACAGCTAATGAAAAAAATTGCCGGCAGCAAAAGTGGATTCTTTTTTATCTCAATGACAGGTGCTTTTGTTTTGCTGAAGAGAAGGTCTTAAGTTCCATTCAGTTTTATATAATGACTTTTTTTTTTTTGGTAAAGCATACAGGGTACCTCATCATTAATTCACAGTTTCCTTCCTAGCAGATATGGGCAAAAGAAATGGCTGAATACATATGAATGCAGAAATATTAGTAGGACCTACTGTGATCTTTCTGCTGAAACTTCAGACTACGAACACCAATATTATGGCAAAGTTAAGGCCATATGGGAGACAAATTGTTCGAAATGGGCTGAAACTGGACGATTCTATCCTTTTTTAGAAAGTAAGTAATGCAATTGTCAGTTGGACATATATTAATATCAGTTAGGGTTATAAGGGTGTAGTGGTTACGTTGCTGGACTCCCACATGGCTGACCACAGTTTAAGTCCCAGACCAGGCAGCTTGAAAATCATGCAAAGGGACCAGTAGTTAGCGTGAACTCCCATGTAGTCGACCGTGGTTCAAGTCCCGGACCCAGTGGCTTAAACTCACTCTGAGTGCGTGTGCATGCGTGCCCAAGATCCCGAGAGGAGAAGGAGGAGAAGGGATTGTGGTGTGGCTATCCCCCCTGGGGGGTGATTTCTCACTTTCTGTCTCTCTGTCTCTCTCTGTCTCCCTGGCAAATGCACGCACCCTTTAGCAAAAACCTCTCAAAAAAAAAAAAAAAAAGAAAAAAGAAAGAAAATCATGCCAATGCGTGTGCACACATGCCCAAAATCCCAGGAGGAAAATGGAAGAGAAGGGATTGCAGGGTGGCCATCTCCCTTGGTGGTGGGGGTGCTGATTTCCCACTTTCCTTCTCACTGTTTCATCTGTCTCTCTCCAGTGAGCACACATGCTCTATGGCAAAAACCTGAAAAAATAATCAGTCTCAGCCTCATCACAGCTTCGTCCCAGAGGAAAATGTTCTGCTTAGCTCTGTTAGGTACTTGGCACAGTGGCCAGTCCAAGGTACATCGTCCTTCTGGGTCTGAGTCTCATCTTTAGAATGAAAAAGCAAAGATCTCTCCCAAATCCAGCCCTGATGCTAGATGCCAATAATACAACATTTTGATTTTGTTTTTACTGTTTAGTAGAGTCTGTCTAATATGAAGAACAACTAATAGATCTAAATGTTGTGGGTTTATGAACCATCATTATGTGTCCACAGATTGATTAAAGATTGTCTCTGTCACTTGACCAAGTCTCTTTTTATTTTAGTCAGCAGTGTAATGGTGTAATTTCTAACTATAACTCAAACTTAAGACAACATCTTCCTCATATTTGCTTTTATAATTTTACCATCCACTCATCTGAGGCTGACTCAGCCATGAAGGACTCACTCAGGGCTGCCATGATGAAGTCTAGACCCTGGACTAGAGCCTTTCTCAGCGCTCTTCTATCAGAGACAGAGGTCAGCAAACGATAGCCCTTAGGCCACATTTTTTTTTCTATAGGCGAAAAGCTAAGCATGATATTTGCATTTTAAAATAGTTTTTTTAATCAAAAGAATATTTTGTGAAATGTGGAAATTACATGAAGTTCAGGCTTCAATATCCATTTATAAATAAAGTTTTATTGGAATTCAGTTCACGCTCATCATTCACACAGTTACCTAAAACTGCATTTGCTCTACCGTGGGAGTGGAGTACTGTAGTTATAACAAAGATCATATGGCCCACAGAGCCTAAAATATTTACCATCTGGACTATTATGATCAAAGCTTACTGCCTCTGTTCTAGATCATTCTAATTCCATCTCTTATTTTTCCACTTATCAGATCACATTAACATTATTTATCACCTACTTTTCAAGTCACAAGCCATGTCACATTTTTAATTGTATTTACCATCATCGAGTACCATTATTCATATGCCTAGGAACTAAGTAAATACTCAATTTACTATTTTAATATTCCTCAGGATATGTGAAATGATTGCTTCAAAGTTTGGCATAATTTGGTCTTACCTTATATTTAATATATTTTGAGGCATTGGCTGTAAAAGGGTGTGTTTTAGGATCTTGATCCAAGTAGGATTATATCGCAGCATTATCTAAGGTGATTTTTACATCTGAACATAATAATGTCCTCTTCCCTTCCCTTTCAGCACAAGTAGGCCCACCAGAGGTTGCCCTGACTACTGGTGAGAAGTCCATTTCTATTGTCCTGAAGCCTCCAGAGAAATGGAAAAGAAATCCAGAGGATAGTTCTGTTTCAATGCAACAAATATTCTCCAATATGAAGTATAATGTGTCTGTATATAATACAAAGTCACATAAAATGGTAAGCCTGACATGGAATGGAATTTATCATTGGGCATCTCTAATCTGAAAAAATTCAAAATCCAAAATGCTCCAAACTCCAAAAATTTTTAAATAATTAGTTTGATTTCATTTATTAGTATTATTATTTTTTTTAATTTTACCAGAGAGAAACAGACAGAAAGAGAGAGGGAAAGTGAGAAAGCAAACCACCAGGTTCAGGACTCAAATCGCCATCAGCCATGTGGGAGTCCAACATTTCTAACCATCATGCCACCTACTGGCCCCTCAAAGTCCAAAATTTTTAAGCACTAACATGACCTTTGCTTTTAGATGGTTTAAACAAACTTTGTTTCATGTGAAAAATTATTTAAAATACTGTATAAAATTACCTTTAGATTATGTTTATAAGGTATATATGAAATATAAATGAATTTCATGTTCAGACTTGGGTCCCATCCCTAGTATTTTTCATTATGTATAGGTAAACATCCCAAAATAAAATTTTTAAATTTTAAAATCTGAAATCTGATACCTTTCTGGTCCCTAGCATTTCAGATAAGGGCTGTTCAACCTATACTGCCTTTTGTGGCTAATGCTGAAACAAACAGTATGATGCATCTTTGATTTTCTACTTGTGAATCTGGGAAAATGTGATATACAAAAGAGATGTCCACAAGATGCATTTGAAGCTGATGTGTAGAAGATTTACAGAACTGATTACAGAGTTTCTTTAGCAGGGTGTGGAGTTGGTGTTGGAGAGTAGAGTGTGCACTTCCCCTTGGTAGAGACACTTACCTGTGTAACATCTGTCAGTCACTCTCCAAGAAGGAAAATGAAAGCTGTTAGCAAGGTGGGCCAGCGGTGGTGCAGTGGCTAAAGTGGCTGGATTCCACATGGCTGACTGCAGAGTCCAAGTCCTGGACACAGCAGCAAAAAGACACACCAGGTGCCATGTGTATGCCTGCCCAAAGTCCCGAGAGGAGACTGGAGAAGAAGGGATTGTGGCATGGCCATCCCCACTAGGGGGTAATTTCTCACTTTCCCTCTCTCTCTGTCTCTCTCTGACAAACACACATGCCCTATAACCAAAAACTAAATTAAGAACTTAAAAGAAGGAAAGAAAAGAGAGAAAACGAAAGAAAGAAAGAAAGAAAGAAAGAAAGAAAGAAAGAAAGAAAGAAAGAAAGAAAGAAAGAAAGAAAGCCAGCCATGTGTTATTGGTTAGAATCGTTCCAATCCTGACCATGTTTTGTCAAGCTGAAGGAAAAGGGTGTTCTGAAACTGTTGTTGAAAAAAGAGCTACTACTATCTAGTGATAGTGAAAATTCAGTGGTATCTCAGTCTTTCATTTCCTTCTAGATTTAATTGTCCAGGGTGATCCCCGAGATCTTTGGGTCTAACCACTGATTGCAATGTCCTGTCCTAGTGGTCCCAGTGTGTGACCAACCACACGCTGGTGCTCACCTGGCTGGAGCCAGACACACTGTATTGTGTACGCGCGGCCTCCTTCATCCCGGGCCCCCCTCGCCTTGCTCAGCCTTCCGAAAAGCAGTGCATCAGTACTCCGAAAGGTAAGCCTTAACAATATCTCGGGAAGGTAATCTGATAAACTGAAAAGAAGTTGAGCAGTTTAGACAAGGCTTTGACAAACTCATGTCTAACAAACAAGTTGAGGCAAAGGCAGAAACAGCATCACTAGAAATGCATAGGTCAACCTGAGACTCTGCCTTTGAGCCGGGCCAATGACAGGGCGAGTGTGTACCCTTCTGGCTCTGAGTTAGCTGCCAGCAGTTTTGAACCACAGCTTCCTGTCTTGTAAAATAACGATAAGGAACTTGTACCTGGACCTTTTTTCTCATTTAAAATCATAATCATTCTGATCAATAAAAGTTCTATGGTCTTCAAGGACATCAGACAATTCTATTGCTAGAAACAAAGCATTGTCTTAAAAACACTTTAAAGAAGAATTTGTTTTGGATCCCCCTTGAGAATTTAAATTATAAGCTCTTCAAGTTGCATTGAATGGGGCTGGATGATGGTGTGGTGGAAACACAATGCTCTGTGAGGCTGACCCACTGGGAGGGTTCCAGGCCGGTGTTCAGAGACCTTCCTAAATAGGCCAGGTACACATGCCTATATTGGATTATATCATGCCTGAAGGATTACAGTGTGGAGATCCTGTTGTGGGTATATCTCTCTCTCCACCACCACCTTCCCACCATTGTCTTTCTCATTTATGGAAGAAACAAACTATTTTTTTTTTTTTTTAGAGAGAGAGATTTTTGTTATAGGGCATGTGTGCTTGCCAGAGACACAGAAGAAAGAAGCAGAGAGAAAGTGAGAAATCAGCCCCTGGGGAGTGGCCATGAGTATGGCCATACCACAATCCCTTCTCTCTGGATTTTGGGCATGCATGCACACACAACCAGTATGAATTTTAAGCCACTGGGTCCAAGACTCAAACCACAGTCAGCCATATGTGAGTCCAGCACCACAACCACTTCATCACCTGCCAGCCCCAATAAATAACCTTTTTTGTAAAGTGGTGTTCAGTTACTACTTACCGAGCTTGAATGGTGGTCAGCAGTAAAAGATGGTGTACTGCAAGGCTGACTGACATGGGGAGGTTGCAGGCTTGCATCCAAAGACTTCTCTGAATCCACCAGGCACACTCATGCTCATGATTCAGGGCTGAGGCTGAGTCTGGGGGGCTGGATCATGGTGTTGAGACTCTGCTGGGGGTGCTCTCTCTCTCTCTCTTTTTCTCTTGCTCATGGAGGAAACGAATGAGTAAACTTTCAAGAGGAAGAAAAGCAAAGATAGCATTGGCTGCATAAGGTCCTGGGATCAGCAAATAAGTACTTACTTTCTCACTCTCACAGGTACTTCCCCCCACCCCCCTTCCTTTGATTTGTCTCCTCGCATTTTCTGAACTAGGCTACCAGAGAACTGTGGCTGGAGATACCCACTCCTGTTAGGAGACAGAGTTATGAGTGTGGCTTCCGTTTGACCTTTCTACTTCCAGGGTGAGATGAGCTTGAACTCAAAACTTGAAAACTGAGAGAAAAATTCCACATCAAACGGCTTGCTATCCATTATTCTTCAGCGTCTTTCTTCCAGACATGGGCTAGAGACAGAGGCTCACACTTCTTACTCCATGCCTTGGTTTTACACCAGCTACAAACAGGGATCCTTAACCCTTGCCTTCCTCCTACCTCATGTCCCTCACCTTTCATCATGAAACTATCCCAGGGAAAAGGTAGGGAATATTATGAATTTACACGTACAGCACAAAGCTTTGTTTTGAAACCTCTGTTCTTAGCATACCTTTTCTTTCAAATGAAGAGTTCCTTTTTTTTCTTCTTCTTCTTTTGAGGGAGATTGCTATAGGGTGTGTGCACTGGCTGGAGATACAGAGAGACAGAAAGAGAGAAATCACCTCCCCCTCAGGGGAGATGGCCACACCACAATCCCTTTTCCTCTATTCTCCTTTTGGGATTTTGGGCATGTACACACATGTGCCCAGAGTGAGTTTTAAGCCTCTGGGTCCAGGACTCAAACTGTTGTCGACTACATGGGAGTTCAGTGATATAGCCATTACACCATCCACTGGTCCCACAAATGAAGAGTTCTCTATCATATGTCAAATACAACTAAGATGCCAAGCAAGCACAAGCAAAGCAGATTGAAGAAATCATTTTTGGATTTGGAAAAAGTGCTGTGTTTACCAACAGCTTGATGCATGCCAAATGGCAGGAATGAGTTTGCAGTGGAAAATCATTTATGCAGTTGGCAGCATGAAAGCAACTAAAATGCAGATGAAATTAAATCCTTCCCGGTAAGCAGATGGAGCCCTACCCCTTGGCCTAGTCTAGGAAAGGTAACAAAATAAAGGGACACTACTTCCAGTTCTGAGCTTTCCCATGATATCTCAGCTGGTAGATCACTAGGGATACCTTGCCAAGACAACTCTGAGGACCCCGCCCCCCCAATTTCTAAAAATAGTTTGGACTATTCTTTGAAAAATTTTTCTGTTTTCCTTCATCCCCCAATCTCTGAAATACAGATGCAGCATTTTAGGTTTATTGTGGCAAACGTGGGCTAGTGTGCACTAAATGCCATCGTGTCATGATTCTTCTTAATTAGGACAGGTTCAGTCCAGGGGCCAGGGATTGTATTAAGCGCTGCCGTATTGGCACACCACTGTGTGGAGCCTGGAAACCAATGTGCTCTTCACAAACTGGTTAGGGTAAAGGCGCCTGCAACTGGACCCTTAGACGGGACTTTGCCTGCCAGCTGTGGCTGACCACCCTCACTATGCATGCACATCTGTTTCCAGTCTCTAACTGGAGAGTTAATGGATGGTGACTTTTCTGCTTTCTCTAGGGTCCAGGCATCAAGAGCATCCAGTGTTCACATGGGTCAGAGTGCTCCCGTGACACTCCTGCTGCTTTTATTAGTGTGTATGCCTTTTGTCATTTGTGCTAACGTTGTTCCTTCTGCTATATGAGGATTCTCCAAACCAGTTGCAGTGGCATAAGTGCTAGGGCTCCACTGCAGGATGCTGGGTCCATATAGGAAGACCCAGGGTTTGGATCTTGGGTTGACCTAAACACACTTAGGTATGCCCATGGCCATGCTGGAATTCTGGCTGGCTTAGAGGGTTGCGGGGGATTGTGGCATGGCAAGATGCTATCAAGAGTACCTCTCTCTCTTTGTCTCTCTCTCTCTCTCTCTCTCTCTCTCAAAATAAATAAATAAAACTTGAAAAAAAGAAAGGATTCTCCAGAAAAGCAGAACCAGTAAAAACAGACAGAGAGAGAAAGAGTGAGACAGAGACATTGATTTATTTGTTTTAAGGAGTTGGCTTAGGCAGTTGTGAAATCTGGTAAGACAAAAATCTATAGATTAGGCTACAGAGCAGACCAGCAGGCTGGAACCCCAGGCAAGAATTGGTACTATAATTTGTGTTAAAGGTGCTATGCTACATTAAAGAATTTCCTTTTCCTAGGAGTCATCAGTCCTATTCCATTAAGGTCTTTAACTAAATAGATGAGGCCCCCCACAATAATAGAGGGCAATCTGCTTTATTCAAAACCTACTGATTTAATGTTAATCTCATCTTTTAAAAAAAATATCTTCACAGAAAAATCTATAATAATGTTTGGCTACATACCTGGGTATTGTGCCCTAACTAGGGTGACACATAAAATTAATTATCACTAATTCCAGATACGCCATAGTAGTTGAGCAATTATAAATTAGCCATGATGCGCCCTAGTCATCAGCCATATAATCTGGTCAGTGGCAGCCAGGGCTGCTTTTCCTTAAACTATTTACCAGGTCTTCTCACTCCTCTATGGACAGCTGCCCATTGTGAGCCTATGGCACAGCAGACCTGGGAGGGAGTAGCTGCCGCTCTCGGCACATCCCGGTTCATCCACCTCCCTATACAGATCCCCAAGCTTCAGCCCTACCCAGGAAGTGTACTAACCAGTGCAAGAATGGCTCTGTCCATCACATAAAAGGTGATGCCACACATTCCTGTTCTCTACTGAGTATAAGAAAAATAATGAGTTAAATGAGTGGCACGGAAAGCGGGGCAGCTTAATGGGATCTTCACAAGAGGGTTTTGTGTGTTGGTTTAAAGCTCTGTGAGTTTCTCAATGATCAGACACACTTCCCTTCCAATATACAAGCCAGCATGAACCTTATAGATCAACATAAGATGTTGGAATATCTGCTGAGTTAGACTATTGATGTATCCTTACTGTGAAGGCTTGAGGTGCATTCAGATGACTCCTTAAGACCATGGATTGTCGGGGCCAGCAGATGACATAGTGGTTAAGATGCTGGACTCCCAAGTGGTCGATTACAGTTTGAGTACAGGACCCGACAGCTTGACAATCATGCTGGGAACATGTGCGTATGTACCCCAAATCCCAGAGTGGAATAAAAGGGACTATGGCATGGCCATCACCCCTGGAGAATGTTTTCTAGCTTTTCCTCTCACTATCTCTCTCTCTTTCTCGGGTGAGCACACACGCCCAATGGCCAAAAAATAAATAAATAAATAATAAATAAAAATTAAAAACACACACACACAAAAAAAAACCCTTGTATTATCAGAGAGGGTAAGAATGTTGAGACTCCTTAACAACACTTAGCTCAAGCTTCTCAACACACAGGTGAGAAAAACTGAGTTCCTAAATGTAGTGACCTACCCAAAGCCTCTTGATAATGCCAGTGTTTTCCCAGCACACCAAATCACAACCTTATATTCCTCTTCCCTCTTTTTTTTTTCAACAGATCAAACATCAGCGTTAAAGATTAAAATCATCTTCTGGTATGTTCTGCCCATATCCGTTACCGTGTTTCTTGTTTCTGTGATGGCCTATTCCATCTACCGATATGTCCACGTCAGCAAAGAGAAACACCCAGCAAACCTGGTGAGTGCTCAGTGTAGCAGGAGTCTTTTAACAACACACTTTCAGAAGGCTAGAAAAGGAGACTCTGGGACAGATACGGTGCCAGAGAAGACAGTGAATTTGGAGATGAATAGCTGATAAACTGGGAAACACTTTTCAGCACTAGATTAGTGTGTTAACATAACCAAAGATAAAGATTCCTTGACTTTGAAAACATTTCATTTAATGACAAAATTATACAGTGTATCTTGGGATATACAGATAAATGAAGTATGATCCTGCTTTTCTAGAAGTTCAATTCTACTCGAGGATTAGAACTTCAAAATAATACACGGGGGCTAAGATGAAAGCACTGGGGACTCTGGGAGTGCAGGGGGGGCCCTGAAACCGTACATGGAGATCAGTTCATGCCAGGGCTTGGTTATGGAAGGTGAGTAAGAGTACTGCAGGAGGAAGAAACAGCAGGGGGAAGGTGAGGAGATGTGTGGGAAGCCACGGCATATTGCCACACCTTAAAGTTCCTGATGAAGAGCTATGGAAGATGGGACTGGGGAGTGGGTGGTAGGGCCAGGCGATGGGGGATTTAGGCATCACCTGGCCCTACCAGGTGCTAATCCAAGGAGTTTGGGCTTTATTCTGCTGGCAAAGAAAGGTCTCCATAGGATTTTAAGTCAGGATGTCATAGCCAATACAGAGTTTTAGATTCAACCAGATGTTAGTTCTAGGACAACTTTAGGGAGAATCAGACTGGGAACAAGAAAAACAGCTAGGAGACTGTGACAGTTGTCCAGAGTAGAGAAGACAGGAATCTAAGAGGCTAAAGATAAAGTTGTATAATACTTAGGAGGACCCTGGGCAGGCCTCATTCATTCACAGCAAAAAGAAACAAGATAAGTATCAATAGAAGAAATAATCTCTATGATACTTGAGGGTCTGCTGAAGGATTCCAAAAGGCTGAGCGTATTTTTAACAGTAAAATCATTTCTCTGGATTTTCAATTATTAAAAGATGTGTTCATGTGCATGAGTACACAATGCACACATTGTGTATTATGTACTGCTAGTTCAGTTTCCAAATCTTTCTGTTATTCTGCCTGTATTTGGATTTCTGAGTTAGCGCCTTCATGGCCTAGGGATGGAAATTTACAGAAGAATTCATCATATGTGATTTTTGTTCTAATTTAAAAATTTGTAAAACTGGGGTCAGCAGATGGTGTGGTGATTAAGGACGCTGAACCCACATAGCCAACAGCAGTTCGAGTACCAGACTTAGTGGCTTGCATTCTCTCTCTCTCTCTCTCTCTCTCTCTTCCCTCCCTCCCCCCGTCAAATTTAAAAATAAAGTTAAATAAAATAATTATTTCTAAAAATTTATAAAGCAATGAGGTTGAAGGCCTGCTTTCTAATGCTGAATGAAATCACATTATGGGTGACAATGAAGATTCTAAAATAACATCACCAGCATTCTTTAAAATAATAGGCACCTTCTATGCCACAGCAATATTGCTATTTTTGTTTGTTTTATTATGCCAGAAGGCATATGAGAGAGAGAGAGAGAACCACCTAGTGGGTCTGGTCATGCTGCCTTCTTTGTCCTCCAGTTCTCCATCCCATCACACCTAGGACCCTTCCACACCCAGCATGTAAGGTGTGAGGGCAGGGATTGAACCCTGTTTGACCATGGGGGACCCAGCCTCCTCTGTACAGCTTAACCACTGCTCTAAAGGGTCAGCCGGCAATATTTTAATATTAAATGGGCTTCCCTGACATAGAATTTCTCTGTCTGCCACGAACTGACAATGAGTTTCCCTTCGGGGCCATATGATAGCATGCTTAGGGTGGTTTGGTGGTTTGACCGTCTCTACTCTTGTGCTTATTTCTCATTCCACATCCAGTTTCCATGCCCACCCACAGTTTGTGTCCACAGTACACAAAGTTTTCAACAAGTTCATGGAAATACTTTTTTTTTTTTAAGTATGGATTTAGAAATTTTTTTACACCAAAATAAGTTGTACTTGAAGTTTTTGAAGTCCCTGCATATAATCAAGTGACCTTGGCTTATTGACAAGTCCCTAGTAGACTAGGGACTGCAGATAGCAAAACAATTCAATAAACTGTGTTTCAGTCTTTGCCACTCTTCACATGACCGAGATTCTGATTTTGTTGTCATTGTTAAGGTTTTTGCCATAGGGTCCATGTGCTAATCGGAAAGACAGAGACAAACAGTGAGAGGGAAAGTGAGAAATCACCCCCCAGGGGGGATGGCCACACCACAATCCCTTCTCCTCCATTCTCCTCTCGGGATCTTGGGCACGCACGTGCACACTCCCAGTGTGAGTTTCAAGACACTGGATCCAGGACTTGAACTGTGGTCGGCATGTGGGAGTCCAGTGTTGTAACCACTACACCACCTGCTGGCCCTGAGATTCTGATAGTAAAGCATTAACAAGGTTTAAGAAATCAAGGGCTTCCCCTGAATTCCCTCAGCCAGTCAGAGGAGGGGCAGCAAAATCCCCAGCCCCAGACTAGATAAATACCTGCCGTTCCTTTCCACAGGTGTTTTGTGTGTCTTGGGTCTCTGCCCTCAGTGAGAGAGGTTTTCTGTATACTCCAAGCATAACTTTATTTTCACAGGTTGGAAAGGGCAAGTCTTTGACACCCACCGTAAATTCTACTTAACAACTCTTTTGAATGTCTCTCTCCAGCAAAAAGGTGAAAACCATTTTTTTCCCCTCTCTTTACAGATTTTGATTTATGGAAATGACTTTGACAAAAGGTTCTTTGTACCTGCTGAAAAGGTCGTGATTAACTTTATCACCCTCAGTATTTTGGATGATTCTAAAGTTGCGCACAAGGATATGAGTACACTGGAAAAAAGCAGCCATGGTGACGGTGACGTCTCCAACCCTGGCGCTGGGGAGCCAGGCAGGACCCTGGGGACCCTTCAAGAGGAAGCGGAGGTGCAGCATTTGGGGTATGCATCCCATCTGCTGGAGATTTCCTCTGACTCAGTGGAAGACACCCGGTGTGCTTCTGGAGCCCAGCAGGAGCCTCTACTCAGAACGATACCCATACCCACAGGTAACATGACCATTGAATATGAGCATGATGTAAGGACTACTGACTTGTGGGCGAGGCCTGAAGATCAAGAGCTCACTTTGCAGAAGGAGTCCGTACAGGGAAAAGTACTTGAGCGACAGGCAGCCTTAGCAAACTTGAGCCCTCAAGCTTTCCTGTCCTCATACAGCCCTCAGCTCAGAGACTTAGACCACGGAACTCAGGAGGGCGCAGACTCAGAAGAGGAGCCAGAGCAGGAGCCATCCATGACCTTGGTTGATTGGGACCCTCGGACTGGCAGGCTGTACATCCCTTCTTTATCGAACCTTGAGCAGGACTCAGCGGGCTGGGGGCATTCTGAGTATGGTGGGTTCACGGAGCAGGGCCTTTTGTCTACACTCTATGAGGAGCAGGCTCCGGACAAGCCCCTAGAGGAGAATGAAACCTACCTCACGCAGTTCATGGAGGAGTGGGGGCTGTATGTACAAATGGAAAACTAAAGCCAGAGCTTGCCTTTCCCACACCCCCGCCATGACAAGGCATCGTGAGTGTAGACAAATCAGTGATCCAACAATAAAGCACTTGGGGTGAAAGAAGTTGATTTAGATTCAACAGTGTCTGTGAGAATTACTTATCTCTTCTCTCTGTTCTCTTGTCCTGTCTCCCAGCAGTGGTTGGCTTGTGCACGTGGGTCTGATGGCTGGGCCACCTAGAATACAGCAGCTGAATCATCACTTTTTTTTTTTTTATTTTTCTATAGGGCACATACCCTTAAAGAAAGAGAGAGCAAGAGAAAGTGGGAAAGTGAGAAATCACACCCCCAGGGGGGATGGTCACATAGCAGTCCCTTCTCACCCATTCTTCTCCCTAGGTTTTGGACACGCATGTACATGCCTGCCCAGCATATGTTGTAAGCCACTGGGTCAGGGACTCAAATTGCATTGTCATCCATGTGGAATCCAGCCACTTTAACCACTACATCCTTGGCTGGCCCGTGGCCATTACTTCTGATCTAGTAATCATTCAATTAACGTCTGCGACATTGGGGGCAGAATTTATTCAGGTGTGTGGACTGAGGTCTTCTTGTTAATTATTTTCTAACAAGCATTCTTGTAGTTATTTTCTGGTGTGCAGCACTATAAATGATATTTCATAAAGATCGTATATTTTATAAATAGTACTATTTCAGAATTTGGTTTATTCTAAGAGTGATGAGATACTTAAAACACGCAGATGCCACGAGGTTGGTGATAAGTTGGTCACATGTAAAGACCTCACCTATTATTCAGTCACGATCATCCCTGGTTAGAGTGAAATCAGGCACAGGCCTTACATTCTGGCTACTTTAAGAGACCATATTTATTACTTTATGAGTGGGTCAGGAATGGAAACATAAACTATTGTTCTTTCGTAGTCAGAAGAATGTCCTCTCAATAACTTAGAAGGGAATTTTTGCTGTCCCTCAAAGCTAACCTAAAAATATGCCTTCCTTTATAGTAGATTATTACATTTATTTCTGGAAATATGTTTTAAAAACTATTTAGATAATCTAAACCAGAAAGTATTCAGCACCTCTGTTACTACTATAATATTAATTATTATTGGGTCACTGGGAAAGTCGTGATGCATTTTGCACTAAAAAACATACAAAAATAGATCATGACTTTCCCAGTGAACAAATAGAATAAGCAGTACCTCAAAGACTTTTTTGGTATGAATAAGTATCCTCTGTCTACGTAATATTAACATCAATAAGTAAACACAGGACATGCAAAGGAAACGTGTAAGAGAGAATTCATTAAAAGTCGAGATAATTTATTACAAGAAGTAAAATAATACCTTTCTAGTTAAATTTCAGTAACTATTCCCATCTCCTTTATCACCTGTTAAGAAAAGTTAATTCTGGCGACCAGCAGGTGGCATAGTTAAGGCACTAGATTCCCACATGGCTGACCGCAGTTCAAGTTTTAGACCCAGTGGCTTGAAATCATGCTGGGAGTGTGTGCACATGTGCCCAAAATCCTGAGAGAAAAATGGATTGCAGTGTGGCCATCCCTCCTGGGGGATGACTTATCACTCTCCCTCCCCCCCACCACCACCACCACAGTGGGCACAGGCACTGTATGGCAAAAATCTTTAAAAAAAGAAAGAAAGAAAAGTAAATTCTGCAATTATGCTGTCTTAAAATGTGATAGAATCTATTCAGTCGAATCATAAAAAGTTGTTGAGATTAGGCTGTTTTTGACCTTCAGAAGCAACAACTGCATGTGATTTACCTTAACATATTTTATTTTAACCATGAATGCATAATCCCCTGATGCTCTTTCAGGAAAACAGATATCATCCATATTTCCTTATTTATATTTTGCACAGGAAGACAACCCTGGTAAGAGAGATGGATTCTGGAGTCATGGTGGTCTGTGATTGTCCACAAATCCAAACAGTTGCTGATCTAATAGTTTAATTTAGAGGATAATTATATTAATCAGAGTGTTCTGGTCTTCTCAATCTCTGTAAAAATGATTCCGCCTGTTTTAAAGAACAAATATATAACACTAACTGTAAAATAAGTTCAGAAGAGGAAAAGAGTGAGTTGTTATTAAGAGCAAAGGGGAAATAAAGTGATGGCAGTCTGGCTTATTACTTTCATTCACAAAATATTTATGGAGTGCGTACTGCCTCCTTCAGGGTCCTCATCTATGAGATAGAAATCAATTCCTTAGGGTTGTTCTGAGGAGTGGAAGAGCTAGACCCCAGAAGACCCTTAGAACAGTGCCTGGCACCGAGGGTTCAGCGAATGTTTGTTATTGTTATCAGCTGCCACCCACATGCTTCAAAGAACTAGAAAGAGAAATCACTGAGACATATGACTATTTTGATCAAAAGTTATTGTCCCTGAAGGTACAATAGTAATTTGTGTCCCAATTTGTGCCTTCAGACTGAAATTCTTCAGTGGTAGAACCGTATCTCCTGACTGGGTAAAAGGGAATTGAATTCTGAGTTGTTTTTACAGATCTTGTCATTCAAAGCACTTCAGAAGTATTGAGCATTTCTCTCATGCTGCTGCTTCAGTGTTTTGTAGCCGATATGCCCACACACACTCACAGTCATTCAAACACGAGCATATAGCAGCTACTTCTGGTGGAGAGGGGAAACATCTCAGACGCTGTGTGTCACTCCCGTGGCCAGGCCCTACCAGCTCCAAGAAGCCGTCCTGTGGCTCCTCCTCAATTCCCTGTCTAACCCCAAAGTTCAAGTGGAGCTGCGAAGTTGAGGTTTCAGAGTCCTTGACAAGTACTACTTATCCTGTCACTGGTGGGGCCTCAGTTCTAGAGTTCTACTCACCCCTTCCACGTGAACTATGTTTTCATGGTTGAAACATCACTCATGACTCTATTCCCACACTCCGTAAGTGCTACATGGCTGGAGAGTGAAAGGAGCGCCACTGTAAAGTGAAACATAGCGGGAGGGAGCAAGGTGAGCTTGTCCTCCCAGCCTGCCACATGGGAGAGGCTTGGAGCCTGCAGACAGCGCAGCTCAAAAAAAAAAAAAATCAGTTCAAGAAAAACCCTTTGCACAGCCTGGAGCACAGGCCTGCCCTGCAGAGCGCATCAAATGAAAACATTAAACAGAGGGCTTGGTCGTCCAGGGCGGGTGCACCTGGGTCATAAATCACACTCATTCTGGCCCACGCATTACCACTCCCACGTCTTCCAGATGAATGTTCACTAACTTATCTTAGGCTGGTTTTCTCTATTTTCTTTTTGGCTTCCCACATTGTAACTTCCATACATCTTCTGTATATAGATTCTCTTTTTTTTCCCAAAGACTTGGCTTAAAAGCACATGTTATATAATGTTTCTAATAATACTACGGTTCTGGGTATTTTAATAGTAGCTCTTTTTATTATAGAAGATACATATATTTTATATGTGTGTGTGTGTGTGTGTGTGTATACACACACACATGCATATTCATTGTAGAATACCTAGGAAAAAAAGGGAGGGGGTAAAAATTACCCATATACCCCCACTCAAGATTTAACCACCATGAACACATTAAGGTGTGTGGGGACAGCTGCTGGTACAAGGTGACGTGATGCTCTGCAAAGCTAGGTCCACGCAGGCAGGTCCCTGATTTGTGTCCCAAAGTCCACCTGTATGTGCCAGGTGTGCATGTGTGGGAGCCCAGGATCCTGGCTGGCTGACGTTGGGGATGAATCAAGACATGAAGACCTGGTTGGGGGTACCCCCTTTGGAAGAAACTTTTAAAAACCCTAAAACTGGGACCAGCAGATGGTGTAATGGTTACATCGCTAGACTCCTATGAAGTCAACCACAGTTCTAGTCCCAGACCCAATGATTAAAACATGCATGCCAGGTATATGTGTATGCATGCCCAAAATCCCAAGAGGAGGATGGAGGAAAAGGGATTGTGGCAGGGCCACCCCCTGGGAGGTGATTTCTTACTTTCTCTCTCTCTCTCTCTCTCCAGCAAATACATATACCCTATGACCAAAAAAATAATAAAATCTCTCTAGAAAAAAAAAAAAACCCTAAAACTTTTTTAGGGTAGAGAAATGATTCTCAAGTTGGGACAATTTTGTCCCCTTGGGAGATTTGGCAACATCTAGAGACATTTTTTATTGTCTTGGCCCCAGTGAAAGGATGCCACTGACTTTTAGTGGGGAAAAGCCAGGAATAGCGTTAAACATCCTGAATATACAGGGCATCCCCCCAAAATAAGACTTATTCAGCCTAAAATGTCAATAGTGCCTAGGTTAATAAACCCTGGTGTAGAGCTTCCCAGACACTTTCATTACGTTTATGTTTCTCAAAAGGAGGGAGCATACTTAACTCTTTTATAACTTGCTTTCCCACTCAAAAATATATAACTATTTTAATTATACCTAGGTTAACTTTATGATCACTAATCTTATTTAAATTGAAAGATTTGAAAGGCCAGATTTTAGGAATCTTTTTCAAGCATGATAGTTTAAAAGTTCCTTAATCCAATAGCAAGCAAAAGTTGGGACTATTAAGAACAAAGTGGAACCAGCGGGTGGCGTAACGGTTGCATTGCTGGACTCCTACGTAGCTGACCACAGTTTGAGTACCAGACCCGTTGGCTTAATATTCACTCCAGGTGCATGTGTGTGTGCCCCAAATCCTGCTACTTCCTGAACATCATGACCTCTCCAGAAAGGCTGAATGACAATTTATAGATACTTACCTTTCTTTGTGGGTGTTGCATTCCCTGTGTTTGGTTCCGATGACCACTCCCTTAAGCTCTCAGGCCCTCAGTGACAGGAACATGGAGGTAGTCCGGGCCAAGCAGGCTATTACTTTTACCATGTCCAAAGCAATGATGTTCTTCCAGATTCCTTTGCCTGTTGTAGCTACAGGATGTTTGTCCTACTTTGCTACTTCTAATCTCTAACACATTTTCCAGTTGGTCTTCATTTCTCACTTTCATGCCAGTGAAGATGTCTCGTTAAGGTTTTTTCAGCACTGCTAAACATGCGGCTCCGTTTAGGGAGGGAGGGGTGAGGGCTGGTGTTGAGGCAGGAGAAAGCTAGCATA